GCTACCTTTTGAGCATTAAATTGCTTTAATAAAAAGTATTTTTAAGCCATTTTTAGATGGATCAGAGTTAGCCTTTCCTTTCACCTTGCAGTATGCAGCTAGTTTCATTGCAGCAGATCAGGCATTGATTGTTTATCATAGGCAATAGAAGGATGCTTACTAGATCAGCAGTCTTGATTGTTGTCAGGATTTTTTTGTAAGGTCTCATAGCTAAAACTCATAACCAGATTTTCTACAATCTGGTACTGTAGCACTAATGTGGCATTATTAATGTAAATCAATTTTTGAATTAGCATATTGAAAACTTAGGAATAACTCGTGTTGAATACATCTGAAGATATGTTCGATGTTGAAAACTAGAGCTGGATCTCATTGCAGATAATGTAAAAAATGGTAGCTCTTGGATTATAAACAGTATTAGTCTCATTTGAGGATTTTACTAATACGGCTTAGAAAGTTTTACTAATCACACTTCACTAATTAAATTCTTGTGTTACAGATTATAGTAAGTTTAACTTTTTGCTTGTTTTAAATTGGGAAAGCCTCATGATGGGAAAGCATGTGGACGCATGATTTCTCAGGAGACTAAGTAGTCTATTACATTGTATGAATATATATCTATTCACCCTTGCCTTCTCTGCCCCCTCCTTTCCTCTGCAGAATGGCTCATATATATTACAGAATTATTCAGTTTCATAAACTGGGTTATGAAAGGCAGTGGGGGTGCTGCATGTGTGGCAATGTAGATCACACAGGATTTATAAGAAGGACTGCCTGGTCCTGCTAGTTCCTTGGCATGTATAAGCTGTGCAGCTATGCCTGATGTTCCTTACCTCTGTGTGTCTCATCATCTCAAAAGCTAGTACAAATTCTGTTTCTGTAAAAGGGACGTTAAAGCTTCACTGAGGCTGCAAGTGCTCTGCGGTGTTTCTAAAATGATTTGGAAAATTAAGCACTATAAAATACATCAGCATTAGTCTGAATGACTTTTAGCTAACAGCCTTGCTTAGCTAGAAAGTTCTCTGTGTTCTCCTTTGTCTTAATTGCCTTAAAAGCTGGACAGAACAGGAGGGAAAAGGCAGCTTTTGAGCATGCTGTGTCAGTTGTCCGGAAGCACTTAAAAGACCCTTTTTTGGCTTTTGAAAATAAAACCTTGGGAAGGTTAAACAGAGTAGAGTTGGGACATGACAGTCCTTTAGAGGTCTTTCTCTTCAAAGATAAAAGTATTTCAAGGAGCATGCTTGGAGCAGCTTTCTCTTATCTCTGGGGTGCTCTTGAGCAATGTTGTGGGGAGAGGGATGGCCAGCAGTGGCATGTATTCTGCAGCGGTCGTGTTCTGTCTCTGAGAAGTTTCAGAAGCACAGAAGAACAAGGAAGCGAGGCGGGAGCACTGAGATATTTGGGACTTGGAGCACAGCTTATGAATACAGTATGAAGAGATGCCCAGTACCTTTGCAGTGTTACAGGTTTGAACATTAGCCTTTCTATTCCTGATGTAGCCTTCTTTGACAGTGCATATGAGAAGAATCTTAACAAGGTGAACCACCCTACTTCCAGAAGGGGGTTGTGTTTTTGTTTTTTTTTTCCTGTGGGAGATTGCAGTATGGCCCAGAGGTAGGGATTTAAGTTACAAGTGAAATTTTCTGGGCAGCTTTTATTTGCACTCTGAAATTCATGCAAGATTTCGCTCTAGGGAGTTTCTCTTTGCCCCACCCACAGGCTGAAGCAGTCAGTGATGCAGAGAAAATGTTTATTAAGGTCTGAGGGGAAATAACTTACTTGTGCAGGACAGCCACTCACTGTGGTCTCCTTTTTCTGTTTACAGAGAAGTAACCTAATACATCTTTTCCTGCTTCTACTCATTTGGTTTGGGATTTGTTGTTGTTGTGAGATGCCACCGACAGTCTCTGTATCACTGATAGATGGATGGTCAGAAGGATGTGGCTGACAGCAGAGTCTTTAGTCCGAGTGCTCTCTGGCTCCAGCTCATGTCTGGATGCCTTTCTCAGGTTTAGCTTTTGTTATGCTGATGCTTAGTTGGAACTGCACGTTCTTCACGGAGATTCTCGAATACAGAGGCTCCATTAAAATTTGTTTGCTGTGAACATACTAACTTGTTCAAAAGAAAAGAAGCAAACCCAAATCCAATTGCATCAGTTTTCAAACAGTTTCATTTTTTCTTGCATTTTTAGATAGGCTATAGCAATCTAAAGAGAACAATATATTGTACAAAACACTTAAAATTGTTCTTTAAAGTGCTTGAAATTTTTTCTTATTTGACTAGTTTGTGCTGGTTTTGGTATTTCAAAGGCATCAATATATTTTCAGAAACTAGGTCCTTAAAAAAGTGACTAAGTCAGTTCAGAAGGTCAAGAACTCAGTTGAGAAAAAAACCCAAAATGTTTGGCATACATTTTGCAACTATTTCCTAGGGAGATGCTGGGTCTTGCCGCAAGTGATGCTTTGATTATTGGTTTTATTTTTGACATAACTCTTTCTTCCCTGCTCCAATTTAAAAAGGCCCACAAGGAAGCAATGACTGAGGATGATAAAGCACGGGGATGTCACTATCCAGTTGAAGCTGAAGAAAGATACCTCAAAACCTGAGAGTGCAGTGATATGTTACAGAAATAATGATAAAAGTAGAGTCTCAGGAAGTCCACATCTTCTGGACAGACTGGGAATAATCAGAAGGCTGATTTAATTTCACTTTTAGCCATTATTATTCATCATCTATTCTCCTGGATTATTCTGATTGCTTACTGAAATTATGCTGAATAGTCTGTAGTATGTGTGGAATAGTTTTATGATTTTTCCCTTGGGTGCTACAGGTGAAAAATTAATCCAAACTCTTCCCAAGGTTCCAGCTGAACTATCTCCAGGGCTTTTTTTGTAGAGATCATGGTGGCAATTTTTTCTTCTTAACTCAGCAGGAGCTCCTATGCAATTTTAATTTCTGCTGAATGCAGTGCATCCTTTGTGGACATTTAGATTTATTCTCTTTTAGTTAAGAAAAGAGTCTCAGCCCAGTGTAAAAGATCTAGAGCTGGAATGTGACTGTGTCTTCATAACCACTTCAGGTCCTCCTGTCTCACCATCGAAATTCAGGTCACACCTTGTACCTCAGGGCACAAGAGTGTGTGTCAGGGAGAGCCACACTCTGCCTGTCCTGCACTCCCTTTGCTGTTGCCTGCTTCTTGTTGAAATATGTATGAAAAAAAAGTACCTGTGACTGAAGAGCACCTATCTGTAGTTGGAAACTGGAGAAAGGGTTCATTTTTATGGATCAATAATAAAATCATATGGTCTCAGATGTCAGTTTCCTTTAATTTCCCTGTGTGAGGAATCACAAACACACTTGGGTTGTGAGAGGGATGTCTCCAGTTCTTTTAAAGAGGAGCCAAGTAAAGAAACCTGCTTGGCTATTTAATAATCTCCACAGATACACTGCTTTCATTGAGAGCCAGAGAAATTGTTCCATCATGTTTTCTGTTAATTCTTCTCTTTCTCTCCTTGTGGGAAAAAAATAGTGTCAGTTTTGTTGCTTGTGTGCTCAGGGAACAAACTTTATCATTGATTATGATTAATATTTCTACTTCTAAAAATGACCAACATTTAATAGAATTTCTGTATCTGGTATTTTGTGCTCTTCATCCTTTCCACTTCTCCTTACCAAAAGGGTAAATGTATTTTTAAAGCCCTTAACATGCTCTAGTACTCATAAGAATCGTAAGTGGCCCTTAGATCCTGCCACTTAAATTTTTACACAGTCATTGTTACATGGTTTTAAAGTAACATTAATTTCAGATATCTCAGCAATATGTCCACACAGTCCTGTTCGTCTGTCCTGGAAAGACCAAGCCAATGTGACACCAGGCTCAGCCCTTTGCATCCATGGTTGCTGCAGTGTTCAGTGCTCTCCAGAGTTGTTTCACATCTGTAATATGTAGAGCCAGCTTTTTACTTAAAAATAATCTGTTCTTTTATGGATGTTGATTTTTCTCTAGCTTCCCAAACTCTAGTAGTCAGGGCTGAAGCATGACCTAACTTCACACAGTGAGATATGGAAGAGGATGTGTGTAGTTACTCAGCTGGCTGGTGAGAGAATAGAGTCATTAGCAAAAGGGAGCACTCTGCTGTCAAATCTTCTACCACAGCCACTGCACTCTATCACTGTAATTATATTTTTCAAATGCAAATGATAGCTTGAAGAATTCTTCCTTTGGTACATTGTTCACAGGAGCAGTTCAATTCGTATTTCTCAGTAGGAGACAAATCTTGTGTGAGGCTAAGGACAGAAGAAGGTCTCATCCGTTGTTTATTCCCTTTTCTCTGAAGATGTTTATTGTGTAGAAATACAGCTAACTGTGCAGTCATATGAAGAAGCTGCCTCACCAAACAGGGTGTTTTGTCAGCAAAGCAGCTGTTACTGCCTCTCTCGTCCAAGGAGAGCAATCTTTGTGCAGCATGACAAGAATGCCAGAACCATGGCAGGGAGCAGACCTGCTCAGCCTTCCTGCTGCAAGGAGTTTCTGTTGTTTTCAGCCACTCCATGTTTCAAATCCCCAAGAAATATATATATATAATATATAGTGCATATATATATTATAATATATAGTGCCATAGATTTCATTTTACTGTGGTTCTTTGAGGTAGAGAAATGCAGGTTGTGTCATATTTGTGGAGTCAGAAAAGCTTAGCCAACTCATCTGCAGGTCCAGTTTCTTATATTCAGTGCAAATGTTCTCCTGTTGGTTTTTTTCTTGTGTCTTAGTGCAAATACATCAGTAACACTCATGCTTTCAACTGGCATTATGCTTAGTGATGATTGACCTTGAGAGATTAAATCCCAGAACCCTGCCAAATTCCCAGCTACAGTGCAGTGCAGGCATGCTCTCAGTTTTTACTAAAAATTTCCATCTTCGTGTGAAGTAAAATTTGGTATTCCAAATTATTGGTGTTCAGGTACTGATAGAATTTTTTTTCTCCTTTTCTTCCAGATCCTATGCTACTCCAGGTATGAAGATGAATAATGCAGGCCACTGGTTTCGATGATGCTGGGCTTTTATAACTGGATTCATTAAGGAATACAAAGAAAATTCTTACAGGGATCAATAATGGTGTCTTCTGGCTGCAGAATGCAAAGTTTTTGGTTTCTGCTCATTATCAGCTTCCTGCAGTGTACTGAAGGTAAGCTTTAGTTTATTTTTTACTTGGGTTTTCAGATGAGTTAAATGGACTGTACAATTAATTTCTGTTAGATAACTTGAAGTTTGAGGATGACAAACTAAATGTAGTATATTCTAGGTTTAATTTATAAGACTCAATTGTCCGTTTTTAATGTAGAAAAGAAAATAGTTTCTTTTAGGTTTCATAGTGTCATATATTGAAATTGAAATGCAATGTTCAGGCAAGTGAAGTATTAATAGTCTTGATGGATAGGTGCCTTATTTTTGGATTCTTCCTGTATATCCTTCCTTTTCTATTCTAATTGCACAACCATTTAGAAGAAATGTATGGATATGTTAAATGTGATATAAAACAACTAAATGAAATACCCATTTTACTTTTCTGATTTCCCTCACTGAAAATGAAATGGCAAACACTTCATTAAGATTAGTGCTATGCAAGTTAAATTCCAGGAAATAAAATTCAAAAGTTCATACAGAAATAGCATCTACTTGAAAATATTTTTGCTCTTTTTAGAGAACGGAAAAATACTTCACTGCTATCAAATGTGTTTAAAATAGCTGTTAAAGAGATGAGGAAGGAAAAAGATTTTTTAAGAAGTTGCATTATCTAGTCTTTATCTGTTTTTTTTTTTTCATAAACTATACTTCATCCAGTTAGTCTGTCTCCACAGCTGTTCTTGTGGCCCTTTTAACAAACAGAGAAACACGAATGAGAAGGAAAACATGACTTCTGAATTCCTAATTGCAAATATTCGTATAGAGCTTGAGATTGGTTTTGGGTGTAAGCATTTTGATTGACTAGATTGCAGGTGAAAAGATTGGTTTAGTAATAGAATAGCATCTCCATGCCATCTCACATTATTCAGTAATTGTTGTATAATATGCAGACTCCCTTGCTGCATCTTTGTCATGATCTCACCAGTTTTTAAAGCAGATATGCACGTTACTCTGTCAAAATTCCCTGAATTTTAAGGTCAGATTTTCAGAAATACTTCTGGAAAGCTATCCTGCCTCCCCTTCTCTTTCTTCCTAAATTTGCGCAAGTAAAAAGGAACTATTATATACATAAAAAGTCCCTAAAATTTCAAATATTTTCTGCAGCCTTCCATGCTCACTGCATCATTTCCTAAGCTTTCTTTGCAGCCTTGCACAGATCAGGCCGTGCTGGCAGACGAGCTTTGCTGAGATGGGTTGTTCATCTGCACGTGTGAACATCCACATCTCAGGGAGTGCGTGCTCCGAGTCCTCATGGCTGTTCCTGAGCTTGGGGAAGTCTCATTTCACTTAAATAGCTTCCACAGTCAGTTTCCCATCCCTCCCCTCCTTCTTAAATGTTGCCAGGGTGTAGTTGAAAACTGGCATTTCCCGGAGCAGATCTGAGATGGTTCCATGCTTGGTAGGACTCCTGACCTGGGAGCTGCTGTCCGGACTGGGACTTGGCTGTAATCTTACTTGTACAGGACAGTAAGTACAAACAGCTGGAAGATAAAATGCTTTCCAGCCTCCTTCATAGGTAAGAAAGGTGGATTAGGAGATTTGAGTTATAAACTTTATGACTGGCTGGTTTGGTAATAACTGGTGCTAATTATGAATGCACTTACATTGCAAAAGTGGTTGCACTAGGTGAAACGTAAGGTGTAAGAAGTAGAGACATTGATTTATGGGGTTTTTTCTGAAGTTTTAAAACACTAAGGTTTTTAAAAAAATATTACTATTGCAATTGTTTCAGATCTCTCTACTTAATGCATTTTACAAACATTCAGGTGCTTGCAGTTTAATGCTGTGTGATGGTTGAAAACATTTGAAAGTAAAAAGGAAAAGCGGACTAACAACTTTCTGTGGTTTGGTTACAGTTGCAAACAGCAGGCTGTAAAGCATGTTTTATCTGCTGAGTTTGGAAAGGAAAAAGTCAACTGAGAACTTCTGCAGATTGAATTTTTGCCATTTGCGGAAAGTTAATTTTCATTGTCATCTGTAATATTTCAAGTTCATTTTATTCTGTCCCTGTTTTTCTTGCTTTTAGTAGCCAGTAGCAATCTTTTGATGCTTCAGTTGTGAATTTACTTTTTTAAAGTCTATACAAGAGCTGCTTTTTCAGCTAAAAGAAACAGGGAAGGAAATTGGGAACAGATAACAGAATCATGCCAAATTAATTGTAAATTCTTAAAATAAATGAAATACTGTGGCTCTGTATACTGGAAATGAATATTAATAAAGAGTTGGCTTCCAGCCACAGAAGAAAAATGAATACTGCATTATTACACTTTCTCACAAAATTACATTGCCTTCTGCTTCAGTAATAAGAGATGCCAAGTATAACATGCTTTAGTAGCACTTCATGCCTGGAAGTATGAACATGAACAAAGGTTAAAATAAGAGCATCTAACTTTTGCTAGAAATAAGAAAATCTTTAATTCTCTTGCTTGGAACGTATTTTTTTTTAATAGAAATCTGATGTGTATATGAAGGTTGTTGCAGTTACTGGGAGAGATAAAACCTGGCTGAATTCCCTGCTGTTTCATTTTAATGTTTCTGTACAGTTTAATGGAGAGGAAGGGGAAATGATCCTGGGTGTGGACAAGTGATTCATTTATTCATCTAATGAAACATTTTCCAATCAAGAAAAGGCTTTATAACTCTCGCACTCTCACAGCCTTAACTTTACCTCACCAGGGAATTAGCAAGCAGGCACAGTTCTACGAAGGCTGTAATTTTCTTTTAGTGTTGCCTATCCAAACAGGAATCGTATCTTCAGATAAGAAGGTCTTGGTTTTGCGCTTTTTTTTTCCCTGGCTATGTAGTCCAGATGGGATTGCTTTTGAAACAATCCATTCCTTCAGGTAAAATGCACCTGGAACAGACAAGTGCTGACAGCTGTACAGGAAAACCACACTGAGTTATTAGACACTGCTGGTACATCTGATCAACAAGAAGTCAATATTGTTGTGTTTGTTGTTACTGTCATCAACAGCAAGCATTGCAGCCCTAAATGAGGAAGAGACAAGAGGCTGTAAAGGGGAATGAAAAGCTCAAGTCATAAACTGGAGTATTACTAATCTTATTTCTGAAAGTTATTTTTCTGTCCTTTTTTCTAGCACGTTTTATATAGGCATGTCTTTCAAACTACGGTTCTATTGCAAAGGCAGACTCAAGGGACTGCCTTGGGAAGGAGTTTGGCTCAGCCTTGGGCAGGTGCCCGTGGCAGGCCTGGCCTGGGGACCTGGGGCAGAGCAGAGCTCCCTCTGCACTGAGCCCAATTTATGTGCCAGAGCCCGTGTCTGTCCCATGTCCTTGTCTGTCCCACCCCATGTCTGTCCCATGTCCTTGTCTGTCCCACCCCGTGTCTGTCCCACACCATCAGGAGGGGCTTCCTGCTCAGTCCCATGTAGCTTTGCTTACCTCTTTCCTACAAATTCTAGGAAGTTAATTACTTTTGACACCACCTCTTTTTTTCCCCTTATTTTTTCTTCCCTTCCTAATTAGGTGAAATCATCTAACAAGTTAAAAATTATCTGAGAAAATACAGAAAGCCAGTGAGTGAGATCACACACGTCTTGTTTCCATAGCAAAGCAGAGTAGAATGCATATTATGTGTATTATTGGTTTCTCTTCAAGCAAGTTAAGACAGATACACTAATATGCATATGAAAAAAAGATGTCAGAGTTAAACATTCTGGTGTAGATTGGTTTTTGGACAGTGCAAGTTTCGGTATTTTAAGCTTTATCTTGCTTACAAAGCCCACCTTTTTGACTAGCTTTTGATGCTGCTTGTTTTTATTCTTTTCTGCTGCTTGAAAAGCACAAGTGCCTTGGAAGCGCTGAAATAATTTTCTTTGCTAACATTCTATTTTAACTAAGGTTTAATACAATTTAAATCCATTTTATTATGAATTATTATCTATGCTTTCTCCAAAGGAAGAAGCCTCATGCTTTCATTATCTATTTAATTCTGTTCTCCTAAATGGAATTAATGTTATTTAAAGAAATCCAGCTTGTCTTTGCTTCTGAATGTTTGTTTTAATGAGCATTACACTAAAAAGGATATATTCCTGTAAATTCCAGCTATGCCAGCCAAAGAGCTGAGTGCTGAGCTGGAAGCAGTTCTAAGTGCATATTCAATGTTAGTGCATTTACTAAAGAAAATACTAAATACAGATAACGTACTTTGGGCCACCACAAAGATATTTGCTATTTTAGGGTATTACTCCAGCTCTTCAGCTTCCTGTGAAGCCACTCAGACATGGAGTGTCGAAGGCACATGACCCAGGTACTGAGCAAACTGTAAAAGCATGTCAGCTTTCCTGCATGCTTACTAGGAGTAATAGTAGGACTTTGTCCAGGATAAAAATTATAAAACACTTGTATCATGGCCTTGAGTAGAAATCAACTTCTGTTAATTAGTGGATGTAGGTTCTGCAAGGAGTGAAATGCATTATGGAATCACACCAGAGCAAAGAGGAGCACTGATTTAATTTCTAGCCATGGAATTTATCACAGTGAGGGCTCTGTCAAGCCCCCAGTTAGCAGGAACCACTTGGTTTACAGAGGTTGCAAAGCATCCATAAGCACACCCACTGTGCTAAGCCAGACTGGTATTGCCCACTCTTTGGAGGATCACTCTAATGAGCTTAATGCTTTCTTTATTCATATCATATATACCTGATATGGCTTAGGATTCTTTAGCAATTTTTTTTTCTTAATTGGTTAATGCAGATTAATCAGTTAATTCAGAATTTTTCTGAAGAAAGCAACTGCTGCTCTGGGTCATTTTTTTTCTGTCATGAAACATCATGCCATTTTTCAGTGCATACTTTTTCTGGGACATCTCTCTTTCCTTTTCTGAGGGAGGGCCAACATATCATCTAAAGAGAAAATTTATCTAAACAGCAAGACCAAACTTCTTCATAAAGAAGAATGTCTGTTAAGCTTTTCAACTGCATTTCCAAAAAAGAGACTGACGGACTGCCCAAAAAATCCAGAGATACTTTAACATGCTGG